CTGCTAACCAGACGGCTGGCGGTTCAAACCCACCAGCCACTCCTCGGAAGGAAGGTTGGGCAATCCTACTTCCGTAGTGATACTGCCTCGAAAACCCAAGGAAGGGTCGCTATGAGTCGGGGCCGACTCGACGGCAAACAACAACAACAACAACAACAAATATATATATATATAATGAGTATTTAATAGTGTAAGGAGCTCTGGTTGTGTAGTGACTAAGACATCTGACTGCTAACCAGAAAGTTAGCAGTTCAAACCCATCAGCCACTCCATGGAGGGAAGACTGGGCAATCTACTCCCATAGATTTGCTGCATCAGAAACCCAAAAGGGCTTGCTATAAGTTGGAATTGACTTGATGGCAGTGAGTTTTTTTTTTTTTTTTTTGGTTTATATCATAGTGTAATGGTGTTACATTTTTGTTCTGCTTCTTGTCTTTATAAACAACCCATCTTAATCTTTATTAAAGTTGTTTCAATGGAGTTTATAAAACTCCAGGTCTTAAAGGGATGTTTGCTCCTGTTCAGTGGGAATACTTCAAAAAGAGGATAGTGGCTTTTCCTAAGAAGCAGAGTTGTATTCTAAGGAGTCCAGATTAACATACACATCCAATATCAAAAACACACACAAGAAATCTTGCTAGAAGGAGTTTATTTGGGATAAGGAAAGCAAACTGAAGACAAGGTACGAAGAATAACAATTCTCTGATAGACATTCAAAGTAAATTATGAATTCTCTTGTCTCTGTTTTTGAAGCTCAGCGACAGCAAAGTTTGTGGAGAATACCCTTGAGCAAACAGGTCCCAGAGCGACGTTCTCCAAGACGACAGAAAAATCTTCTGCAGTAGCAAGTAGTGCGAATCATTAGGCCTGGAGAAACAGGAGTAAGAATCAGGCAATGAATACTGGGTCAGTGATGGGTGGCAAGCAGATGTTCCTGGAGAAGTTACATGCTACATTGAGTAGGTGTGTCATGTTGACTATCTCAGGGCACAAAGCAATGATCAAACTCAAGAGATAAATATTAATAACTATAAATACAAAATGTTGATCCTACAAGATGGAAGACAAACTCTGATATTACAGGTAATAATGTGATGCTCGGGAGCTCTGGTAGCATAGTGGCTAAGACACTTTCCTGCTAACCAGACGGCTGGCGGTTCAAACCCACCAGCCACTCCTCGGAAGGAAGGTTGGGCAATCCTACTTCTATAGTGATACTGCCTTGGAAACCCAAGAAGGGGTTGCTATGAGTCGGGTTTGACTCAATGGCACATAACAACAACAAAAATGTGATGCTCAGGGGGTAACCACCACTTTTGATCTTGCAGTAATAGATAGCTCTTATCTGAAGGTCTTGGGAAAGAAGAAAAGTATTTGGCACAGCAGGCAAGGCGGGAAGGAAGGTCAGAGACAGACTAATGGAAGGATGCTAAGAAGTCACAAGTCTACTAATGATAGACATAATACCTCTCCTATTAACCCAAACCAAACTCATTGCCGTTGAGTTGGATCTGACTCATAGCGATTCCTACTTGGGTTTCTGAGGCAGTATCACAATGGAAGTAAATTGCCTAACCTTCCTTCCGAAGAGTGCCTGATGGGTTTGAACCACAAGCCTTTTGGTTTGTAGTCAAATGCCTTAGGCATTACACCACCAGAGTACCTTTTCCTATTAGAATTTACATTTTTGACATTAATTTACATTAAGTTTCAAAGAAATCTTACTAGCTATATGTTGATCATGAAGGATCACAGTTTCTTCTATCTCAGTCTATTATAGAAGGTCTGCTGGAACCTGTCCACCATGTGTCACTGCTGGTATTTGAAATACTGTTGGCATGGTCTCTAGCCTCACAGCAACACACAAGCCACCACGGTACAACAACTGACAAGACGAGTGGTGGATTATTTACATGCTACTTTCATACCCTCGGATACACATATAACAATGCTGTAGTGGCACAATCTTCAGACCTCCTTATTTAATTTCATCAGAGATAAGGAGGATCATTATCTGCATCAGCATCTCAAGCCTGATTCCTAGGAGGGGAAGGTCAGATATACCTTCACTTGCCAAACTTCTTACCAATTCTGACACTGACCTTCCCTCACATCATGTTCTCTACTCCTCTGCTGAATTCAATAATGGCCACAGAAAACTCAGATAAGCCTCACTTTTATGGAGCTAATTAGGGAACTAATAAATTAGAATTCAGGATGAGAAGCAGCTCAGGATCCAGTTTGTTGATCCGTCCCTTAGACATGCTCACAAACATGTCTCTCTCTAACCCTAGGTCCTGCAGCTCCTCAGACTAATCTTTGCCTGCTCTGGTAAGTGTTACAAAGTTCTTTTAGCTCTACCATTCAGTGCCTATAAGGACCACACTCCACAATAGGCCTTGGCCCAAAGATGCCCAGCTCTACCTGTGTGGGTTAGAAAACGTAACTCAGTCAGGAGCTGAGAGGCATCCCACTCTGCCAGAAAACCTCCTGGTGAAGGCACTCATTTTTTCCTCTTTTTTTTTTTTTTTTTTTGTTCTCTGGGTCAGGAAGAGTACTCTACATCATCCCCTGCCAGTCTTCTGGTTGTGCTGTCATTACTTCTCGCCATCTCTCATCTCTGATGTTACAGTTTCCTCACTGTCTCTGTCTCCTGGGTCCAGCAGGATCTCAGCTCAGGGATCCCGTGTCCAAAGGATGGGCTACACTCCCATTTCTTTTCTTGATGGTAGTGATGGTCCCTGTTTCTGCCTCTGGGATGGCCACTTTTAAGCCTAGCAAGGCAAAACTGACCAATTCTTTGTTAGTGTTCCACATAGTATTTGGACAGTCTCACCAATTGTTTTGGTGGGAATTAGAAGACCATGACTAGAAAGGCTATATAAAACCCATGCATCACACCACAACACATCACAAACTCAGGGCTACTAATCTCTCATTCTGACTCTACTTCACACTCTCATTTCACGTACAGCCTCCATGTATAATAAGTTCCTCTCTTACAACTTGTGTCATCTTTGTATCTGAAGCTGCTGAGTTCTGCTCACATATGTTGTACAACCAAACCCTTTGGTGCTAAAAGTTCTCTTGAAAACCTCTAACTTCAGTGTCTTTGTTTTCTAATGAGCCTATGCTAGTGTGAGGCACAACTGGAGGTGGAATCCCCTAGTCACACTGATCTCACCTGGAGCATCCGGGGCTGAGCGTTTGTCTCCTGCATAGGAGATTGCTATGTCCTGGTCCTCTGCTCCAGGCTCATCCTGGGCTGGAATTTCATCATCTGTCTGTCTGAGTGGCTCAGCCTGGACCTGGAGGGCCAGCAGGAGAATGGCAGCAAGGAGGGTGAGAGTTCTCATAGCTGTGGGTCACCTGGAGATCAGTGTCCCGTATGGAGGAGCAGAAGCCTTGGTGTGTTGGCAAGTGAGGAGAGTCAACCAGTATTTATATATCTGTTAGGAGAAGGTTCAGACACGAACAATCCAGTTAGGGAAGGTGTGTATTTGTTCTGCGGATGGTGCTTGAGGACTGCCTGTTGTGCTCAAAATTGCTTTGATGTTATTTTGTTCTAGCAGCTTAATTGCCAACAAAGTTCTATATGTGCAGTGTTTGTACTTGCTGCACATTGACAACAATGATAAGGGCCTGGTGTATTTCCCTGTTCTCCATCTGCTTGAATATTTACTTCTTTGTATTCAAAATGGAAGAGAAACAATACTTTCATTCAATAATTCTGGGAAAAAAGTGCCCTTTAATTTCTGAAAATTGTCCTTGCTGCCTGTCTAGACCCTTAGACTAGACTATATCCCAATGGGTTAGAGTGTTAATTCACTTTAAGACTCAATATTGACTACACCTGCCCCAAAGGAGGCTTTTAATATAGGGACATTGTTAGAACTGGTGTGGAGAGGACAGTGACATTTTACCAAGATTCTCATAAAATTAACTCCAAATTCAGGGCCAGTAGTATATTAGGTAATGCACTAATCAGACTAAAGCCAAAAGTTAGACACACAAAACATATTTACTAGCCTCATCTCTCAACTCTGAGAATTGTCAAAGGGACACATATACACACTACCTCATTCTGAGTCTTTAATTTTCCATAAAAAATAATTCATGATCATGGAATAAAATTCAAAATGTATAAATAGTATTGAGTAAAGAAGTAACTATTTCTTCCATCCCTGTGCCCACCCTTTTGTCTTTGTTCCAGAAAACTACCCGTACTAAAATTATACACCTTATTTGGCACCTTGCTTTATTAACCAATTTTCATCATATATCCTTCCTGTCTATGTTCAGGGCATAAGCTCCACTAAAAGCACTTTGGAAAGAGAATAGTGGCTTTTCCTAAGAAGCAGAGGTGTGTTCTAAGGCGTCCAGATTAATATACATATCCAATATAAAAATCACACACATAGAAAACTTGCTAGAAAGACTTTAATTGGCAAGTGAAAACCTTATGAAAGTTGTTAGGATGGAGAACCACAAATATGATTGTACTGGATATTATAACTGGGAAGCTCCATAGAGAATTTGTAGAAAAATCTACTCATTTTGAAGATGAGGACCTAAGAATGAGAAGGACTAAGTAGAGAGCAAACCTGTCATGCGAAATCAGGAACTCTGAATTCAAGCCAAAGTTTGTTTTTACTCCATATTCCAGTTGTCTTCAAGGACTTCAGAGCTGTATGATGGAGTGTTTTAAAATGGGAGTGCAACACAAAAGCATGTGACAGTATGAGTCAGGAAACTTTTTTTTTTTTTTTTTTTCTCTCTTTCCCATATTGGCTTTATGTGGTCAATGTGATTTTTTCTTTTTTTTTTTTTTTTGGGAGGGGGGGATGACCATAGTTTTCATGAAGCCAGAGAACTCTCAGTGGATATTCTACATATTTACTGTGATAATGAATGGTCATGGCTTGGCTGAGGAGGTGGCTCCTAGAGGGAGTTCTGATGGAGAAGATGTGATCAGAAAGAGCCATCTTCCCAGACCTCCCAAATTAGAAGAATTCTCAGCTGTATGACAATTCTACTGACAATTCTGTAATGCGAGTGTTAGTAAAATGGTGAAAATCATTAGAATCTTCTTTTATATTAGACAAAAGTACATGGAAGAATCTACATCTTGTGAAGGCTATCACAATTTTAAAGCAGATGTTGCTATTGTTAGCTGCAACAAAGTCAACCTCCAGTTGAAGGCAACACCAAGCACAATAGACAGAAATGCTGCCCAACCCTTTGACAACTCCATGATCAGTTGTAGATCAGACCTTTTTGATCCATACACTTTTCCCTGGCTAATTTCCATAAGTAGATTGTCAGAACTTTCTTCCTAGTCTTCGTTGGAAAGCTCTACTGAAACCTGTTCAACATCAAAACAATATGCAAGCTCCACTCACAGACCGGTGGTGGATGCTTCACTGGCTGGGAATAACACTCATATTTCTTACATGAGAGATGAGATTTTTTTCTGAATCTTAAGCAAAGGTAGGAGGTGATATTTTGAACTATTAACCTTTCTTCTTTCTTCATAATATTTTTCCTTTTAATTTTCTCCTCCCACTTGCTTCTTCCATCTCTTTCACTCCATCTTCCCTCCACTCAAATACATAAACAGACATACCTTCTGGCATCACTGAAGGTGTATTCTACTCATTCTTTCAGAATCCTATTGCCACAGAAGAAACAAATAAACAAAAGTTATTAGTTAGTTTCCCTACCCAAGGTCCAAATAAAATATTTTATAATTTTAATGAACAATTGCAATGTTCTTTCAGACATTCTCTTACTCTTTTTCTGTATCAAATCAATTATTATTTTTAATTTTTCTTTTGTTATGCTTAATCTTATGTGTCAATATAACTAGGGGATTGTTAATAATGTCAGTTAAGTTATTCAGTTAAACATTGACCTATGTGTTGTACAATGGTAGTCTGTAGATCTTGCCTCATCCAATCAGTTGAAAGACCTAGCAGTAAACTGAAGTTGTGAATTTATGTCAACATATGCCTGAAGCAATCATTACTCTTTGAATTACCCAAATATTAGAGGCAGCATATCATTTATTAGTTTGACCCAAGTATCTGTTACTTGCATCCAAGCAAATCCCAAGTGCTATAAATATCAGAAATTTTAAAAAAAGAACCACAAACATAGAGAGTTGTTGTGAAGACTTCATTTGGGTTAAGGAAAGACATTACATACAAGGCATGAAAGACAAGAACTGCTTCCTTCCAGGCTTTCACACTTGACCTTGAACTTCTTTGCTCTTAGCTTCATGAAACCAAGTGATAGCAAAGCTTGTAAAGAACACCACTGAGAGTACAAACCCCAGAGAGGTGCTTGTGAGGATCATAGCATTCCCTTCTGAAATAGCAGGACATGCTTATCTTGAAGCCTGGAAGTGTAGGTTTGAGGGTTGGCAGATGAAGTGGAATCTTGGAAAATTCAATTTTGAGTTCAGACAGCTATGTTAAATAGATCAAATTAGAGCTGATATCAATGGTTATTAATTTCCATTATATCAAATGAGACTGGACTCAATGCTTGACCAAAGAGGACTTGAGCCTCTCACATCTTTATGTATTTGTACTCCATCCTGTAATGACACCATTTTTCATCTTTTCTCTTTCACCCCTGTACACACATTCACAAACTCATGCCTTTGACATTTCCCCGTGTCTAAATGGAAAATGGTGTGGTCTAGGGTTCCAGTAACCCATAGTCCATGATTAAAATCTAACACACAGATCATTTTTATAAAGTTCAATTGGAACACAGCCATGCTCATTAATTTGGTATTGTCCATGGTTGCTCTAGGTATCTCTGGGTGGTACAAATGGTTAAGGGCTAAAGGATGCTGGTTTGAACTCACCCAGAAACATTTTCAACCTTGGAAAAAAGACCTCATGATAGTCTTCTGAAAAATCAATGCCTTAAAAACTATAAAGCAGTTCTTCTCTGCCATATCTGGGGTTTCCATGAGTCAGAATCGACCTGACAACAAATGGTTTACTTTTTAATTTTGGTTTATGGCTGCTCTCAGGGTTCAGAGGGTTTTCTCCATATTATAAAATAAAAAGCTTATGAAAAAAAGATGACCCCTTAGAGATGATCTTGGTCAGGTCTTTCTGGTTTGAGATGAAAAAACTGAGGTCCTAGGAAGTATAACAAGGTACCAGAAGGGACATAATTGGTTGTGTCAATCTAGACTAGCACAGAAGTTTCTATCCCCTGAGCCTCCTGAGCTGAAGTTTTATCTCTCAGAGATCACTGAATCTTGATTGTCTGTCTGCTCCAGCCCCTCGTAGGTTGGAGCTTAATCATCTCTTTCTGTGATTGGTTGTGAATGGGCCTAGAGGACCAAGAGGTAGATGTCAGTGAGGGCAGTGGGAGTCTTCATGGCTGAGACATCCCTGGAGATAAGAATCTCTGAAAAGACAATTGCAGCCTGAGTATCACTGGGAAGTGAAGGGATCTAGCCTTGGTTTCATTTATGTCTATTAAGAGGTCAACCAATGAAGTATCAACAACTAGGAGGACTTATGATTGCACATTCTGTGATTACCTATATATGAGGCAACAAGGCTTAGGTTGACTATCTGAAATCTTCCTGCTGCCTGTACAGACAAACTTTGATGTCTGCCTGCCCTAGTGACTCCATTTATCACAAGAAATTAATATAATTTAGTTTTTTCTATATTTTGTGGGTATAAATAAATCTGAAATGAATATCTTTTCACATATACATTTTACCCATAAGTGATTATATACTTGAGGTAAATTCCTGGAAGAGGAATGCAAACTGGGTCAAAGAACATACCCATTTTATAGATGTTACCATATTACCTTCCACAGGGGCTGTAAAATAAGTTACAAAAATATATAAGCCTGTCTGCTCTGTCCTCAGGAGCTCTGGTGTGTACTGCCTAAGCCACCTGATTGCTAACCAGAAGGCTGGTGGTACAAACCCACCAGCCACTCCTCAGAAGGAAGGTTGGGCAATCTACTTCCATAGTGATACTGCCTCGGAAACCCAAGGAGGGTTCGCTATGAGTTGGTCTGACTCCACGGCAAATAACAACAACAAAAGCTCTGTCCTCAGTTCCTGCCAATTAAATATGTTTTACAGGATTCTATTATTAAACAATTTCCATTATGCCCTCCTCCTGACTATGTTAAAGGCAGCAATGTGCTCTAGTAAAATCACTTGGTATTCTAGACTTTCTTGTAAGTAGATCAGTGTGATGAATAAACAGAGCTCTCTAACCACTTAAATATAATCCTTAGGAAGAATATCCATTTTAATAATAACAGGACTTTTTGTCATGTTATTGCTTTATATTTTCCTTCT